GTTGTTCTCTATGTACTACAATTACAATTACAGAAGCTGTCAAGGATTCATTAAACGTGAAACGATCATATATATATATATATATGTTATTTATAACTCGGCGTCAAAGGATTCAAACAGTTTGGTCCAAGAGTTGGAATGTAAATTTAATATTTAAGGTGGTAAACACAAAAGAAAGTCCTAGTTCAGGTAATGCTCTCTTCCCATTCATACTGTTCCACCATATAAGTATATAGCATTTATAAATAGACATCTATAGTCGAATATCGGAAGAGAATGGACGCATGTAATAGAAAACAATGTGCTCCATTCCAATGCAAAGTCTGTTGTAAGCAGACGCAGATGAAAGAGCTTGCTCACCGGCCATTAGGCTCGTCAACCCTTGGTCTGCACTCCATTTGTTCAAGAAACTTAGTGAGTTGCAAATGCTTAGAGGCCCATTGCTCTGCTAATTTTTGCTCCTTTGCTTCGGCATCTCTTCTTAGCCCTTCTAGTTGTTCCCTGTATTCAGCTTCAATCCTATCAAGGGCAGTCTTCTGCTCTTCCCTTAGAGCCTTGATCTTCGACTCTATTTCTTCCATTTTATCCCTCCTGCGGCAGGCCTTCTCAGATTCAAGTTGTAACTCGAACCTCCTTAATCTCCAGGCTGCTTCCTTTTTATGTGCAGCCCAAGCACGGTGCCCTTCTTCCAGCTCCCTGCAGCAATCCACCAGTTCAGATATCAACATGTTGTCACTACTAGAAGGAAATGATCCATGGGGAACCATATTTCCCAACATTGGTTGCAGCCATGGGATTTGAGGAGCAGCAGGCACTGTTGAGGGAGATAAGCTTAATGTCACGGAAGGGGAAAGTGGTCTGACAACTGAGGTATTGCCTGAACTAGAAAGCCAAGGTGGAAAAGTTGGTGCAGGTGAAGGTGGGTTGGTAGGACGAAAGCCCCCATTGGAAGCAGCCATGGGAAAGGCTGAGCTATGACCTTGTTTCACTAGTTTCTCAGCTAAAGTTTCTAATATCCTATCGTACTTGCCTTCCTCGACTGGTTCAACTGTCTTATTGTTCTCCTTGTGTTCCCTTTGTTGCTTCTCTTTAAATAACTCCCACCACTTGCCTAGTCTTTTAGCAGTTCTGCCAGGGACTTCAGCAGCAATTTTCTTCCATTTGTTTCCGTGTTTGGCTTGAAGACGGATTACAAGACGTTGCTCCTCCTCCGTAAGAGATCCCTTCTTAATACCAGGTTTGAGGTAGTTATTCCACCTTTCTAAGCAAGATTTCGCATCCCGGTTTAGGGGTGTGTTCATGCGGTCTGACACAAGGTTCCACTCCCTCGGTCCATATTGTTTCACGTATGCGCACAACAAAGCGTCTTCCTCAGCTCTCCAACGCTGTCTCTCCTTCATATCCAGGGGTAAACACCACTTCCCATCGCTCTACAACGATCCTCATAATGTATCTGCAACAAAACCAGTAAGTTCAACCATCACTTTGCTAATACCAGACTGATAATAGACCGATAAAACAGTAACAAACTCACTAATAACACGGAACTAGATGACACTAGTAAATTAAAGATGAACTTATAACATCATAGCACATAGAGTAGTCTCTCCATTGCACTTTCTAGACCTTAAATAAGTATCATAAAACCAAGGGTACAAACACATGGATGTTAAGAAAACACCCAAGTGCACAACACAAGCAGGCAATCCTATTTAAACAGCAATATTCATGCAGAATCATAACCACCACCTGTAACATAATTGGCCACAATATACGCCATAATCTTCTCCGCACCGAAACCAGGAGCAATTCAGGAATAAATTTCCAGACAAATTTAAAAGTACGAATCAATAACTCCAAAAGCCTCCCAAATTAGCTTGACTCGGATAGCTAACAGTTACACTCTAAATGCTGGTAGACCAATAAAAAGGATTGGTTATAAAGTGCAAAATCCGACCAGCACGATGCTACCAAACACTGCACAGAGAGACAAGTTGAATGGGGAAAACAGAACAAAAAACCAAATATTATAATATTATAACAAGATCAAATATCACTGGAGGAATGCTTTTAAGCAATGACTGAATACATAGACACAGTTCTGCCATAAACAAAAGCTATTAGTATACAGGTAGTGATGACAATCATTATTGAAGACAGCAAAACAATGCGCCAAAAAAGATGATATATGGTACAATAATTGACAACAAAAAAACGCATACCCAGGATTCTATTTGAAATGAAAAGGAAAAGCCAACAAAATTCATACAAAACAAAGCATAAAAAACAGATGATTTGAAGCGATAACATAATCCCAGAGCAAGCTTTTCTTCTCTTATAATCTACTAACAACGACAAAGGGAGTAAAAACTTGACAGAACAAGCTCACCATATTGTGTTTGGTTCAAGTGCCCGAATTCAAGCTCCGTGTTCGTTGCATCTTCAAGCTTATAATATCCGACAAGAACAGCAAAATGATAAACCGAAACCGAGAGCCCAAAGAGAAGAAATAGCGGCTAAAGGGAAAAGCGAGAGTGCGGATAGAGGAAAGAAAGGGGGCTTTTTTTATCCAAATAATATTCCTTGAGAATGATGATTACGTAGAGCAAAAGTGAATATGGGATGGAATCATTCCCATAAACAATCACTAGAATGGTGGGATTAGGATAAAAAAGGCAACAAAGGAACAGCGAGAGTAAAAGGTAAATGAAAACTCAAATTAGAGCGTTGTCAAACGCACTGTGAAATTTAGACCGAAAAAAGTGTCTGACAATAGGGGCGTGAACGCGACGCGAGTGGCACTGCGACCGGAAGGAAACGGAACTACCATTTTCTGACATCACCAGGGATATTGTTACTAGATAATTAGCGTAGATAAACAGACAACTTATTAGATTATACCACTCACATATATCGACTGAATCTTATCTTAATTAATATCTTCCTAAAATTGAGGATTCCAATGTGTTTTTCGCCTACTCATTTTTCACCATACCAGTTTTAAGATTTCGACTTAAATAATCTGGATCTATCCGGATAATATATTTGACTTTGGTGAATGGATCTCCAAGCGGGGATTCTCTGTATACACAATGATTCAAATCTGAGATATTACTTAAGTGATATCAAGTTGCTTACCAATTGAATAAAATATGTTTAATTTAGTGGTATATGGTGTAATTTATTTGAAAAGTTTATTAATATAATCGAGTGTGATATAATTGATAAAATTTGAAAATGAGTACTCATTTTCAAGTTTATTAATATAACTGATAAAATTTGAAATTTAATGGTATAAACAAATTAATGGACAAAATTTAGTGGTATATGGTGTAATTTATTTGAAAATGAGCGTACTCATTTTCAAGTTTATTAATATAATCGAGTGTGATATAATTGATAAAATTTGAAAATGAGTGTACTCATTTTCAAGTTTATTAATATAACTGATAAAATTTGAAATTTAATGGTATAAACAAATTCATGGATAAAATTTAGTGGTATATGGTGTAATTTATTTAATTTTTTTCGCATTTAATAAACAAACGAATCTGAAGATGTGTGTTTAGTTCCTTTATGTTCACGAATAAACTCATTTGAAAGCTCGTTTATTGACTCGTTTATTAGTTCATATATCCGGTTCTATATTCCTTTGATTTTTTTAACATTTTAAATAATGGTATCGATAAGGACTAAATTGAATACAATGTGAACTTTGAAGTTCAAATTGTGAAACCTAGGTATTTTAGGGACTAGTGGCATAATTTAATCATTTTTATTTGTTTGTTTAGTTAACATTTATCAATAAATAAGTGAATATGTTGATGGACGCTAAACAAACGTGACGGTGAAAATATACATGTTGGTGAACACATGAATGAATATGTTCACGAATGTTAAACGAATTGAATGCGCTATTTAATATTTAAATGAACATGAATCAAACATAAATGTTTTCATAATTCATTTACACCACTACTTATATATTAAAATAAATATAACGATAAATTGCACCAAATACTATTGAATTTTAAACGTCATATTGTTTATATATTGAACTTTCAAATTTGTTAATTATAGTATTGAACTTTGATTTTCGCTTCAATTATGTCATTGTGCCGTTAAAATGTGTGATGATAGTAAAAAAATAACATTGTTTTGGTAGCATGATTTTAGGCACTAAGCTTTAGAGAAATAACTATTTTGCCACTACAATATTACACAGTTCCATTTTTTGCATCGTACTTTTACGTTTGGTTCATGAAATTTAAGTTTAACTTTGGGAATAAGATTATTGGATTGTTCCATTACTTGATATATTATGGAGAATATTGTATTATCTTGTTTGATTTGTTTGACAATAATGTAATATTACAATGTTTTGTTGAATAATATAAGATTGTTGAAATGTATATTTTATCAAATTATTCATGTGGTATATTTTCTTTGTAATAAGTTGAATTCTTAATATTAAAATAAAAATATTTATAGAAAAAATATAGAAAATATATTATTTTTAATTTATATATTTTCATTTATAAAGTCTAAATTTATATATATATATATATATATATATATATATATATATATAAAATAAATTTTAAATAATAAATAGGTAGATTAAAAGGTAAATATGTTATTCTTTTTAATCTTTATTAATATTATATTTTACATTATTTATCTAAAAATATTTTAAAATTTACATCATTATAATGTAATTTATTAAGTTATAAATAATAATTATGATGCATTCAAAAACTTTAATATTTTAAAGAATAAAAATTATGAATAAACCATAAATCCCATTCTCGATAGGATTAATTAATTATGCGCCGAAGGATAATGGAAATAAAGAAAAAGATTTATCACAAAGTTTAAAAGAATAAAGAAAATGATAATTTTGAAATAGTTTATATATTTTAAGAATAAGTTTGTTTAACTAACAAGAATTGTTAAATATCTAAGATGAAAGAGGAAATAGGATTTCCAACACAAAAACACAACAGACACCAAAGGAAAAAGTTGATATGGAAGCAAAATTGAAAGCCTGGCTCGAATCGAAAGGCAAGAAAAAGAGTGCACTAAGAATGGTACCAAGTTCCATACATTATATGAAGAAGCTCGACTGTAACAGCTCTTGTAAAGCCAAAATTTCTAATGCCAAAGCCAGGTACAAAATAACTTGACTGGTATTTGAATACCCCTTCGGAGCAGAGTTCATAGACCCATTGCTTAATTTGAACATGTCTGCAGGGACATATCTTTGACTACCAGAAATTTATTCAGTAATGGAGGTGTTGATGTTGAGGAGATTATGTTGGAATCAACTATGAACTTAGCTGGTATGTTAATCTAGTATGAAATTTATTGGCAAAATCGTTTGAGTTATTAGTAGAATAGTTCTTACTCGATGTATTCTATGTGTAGAAGAATCATCATGCAAGGAAGAGACTACCGCAGTCGAAACATCGGTCGATACCATTGAATTATCTCCGGTTAGTGAGAGGAAAACCGCAATGCAAAGCCCCCAAAGAAAGGCCTTGTGCCCCATCAGTTCCAATATAATTCCAGAATCCATCAAGGAGCAATCATCCAAGGATCAAATTTCCTTGTCACATGAGCCAAAATCTCCCCAGTCGCCTTCCATTATCTTTGCTGCCAACAAATTCCAAACTGTGGGTGGCACCCCACTCGATAAACGTAGTGCATGGAGTTCTAAGTTGAAGGTGTGTATATACGTGTCATACATTTGTTCCAACTTGATAAATTTCCATCTGCTCTAACTTCATAAACCTTCCTGTAGAGCACTCTTATTCAAGAATATGTTGAGTTCTTAAATACAGCTAGCAGGGAAGAACTACTAGGCCTAAAGGTACCGTTCGGCCAAGTAAGACTAAGCAGTTTTTTCCCAATTTTCTCATGACACATAATCATTATTTGTTGTACATAGGGTATTGGAACGAAGATGACAGAGTATATCATTGAACTTAGAGAAACATCACCTTTAGAATCGGTAAGGGAAGTTTTCCTATGCATAATCTTTTGAATTATGGGTAAAAAGCTTAGTAGGCAGCTTTTGGCTTTGGTTGCAGCTAAGTGACTTGGAAAAGATTGGCCTCTCATCAAAGCAGGTTTACAACTTGTTCAGCAGAGCTGCAAAAGGAATTATTAAGTAATATGTTTTGTGTACTATTTTCTTGGTCTGTCAATTCAGAACTGTAGAAGTGTATTCATGCAGTACATTCATTATTGTACTGATTGTTGAATTTTTAGAAGATGGTAGTAAAAATGTGAACTTGTATCAAAATTTTCTGATATAACTGGTTCTGTTTCCGCCTTTGGGACCCAAAATTTTACAGTGGGTAAATAATGTGAGATTTAATAAATTCGTTTAGACATTAGAGTTTCCAAGAATCGACGATAAGCTCCTCGGAAGATCTAATAACCTGCACTCGAAAACAAATTCCTAATGATGAGCTCACAATTCGGATATGCATTCACTACATAAGCATGTTGACAGGTAGAGACATAAGCATACAGGAACATTAAACACACAAAGCTGAAGTAGGCATGACGGTGTGGTCGAAGGGTTTACTGTATCTCGAGACTCATACCCCTCTAACTTGCCTATGATTTCATTGGGTATATGAGGTGAGATATGTAATTGCATTGGAAACATACACCCAGTTAGCTTACCCCTTGGAGTACTTGAGACATTTGCGTCCAGTCAATAAAGATAAGTGTCCTGTCACTAGCTAAGATATATCCAGATGTTTCTAATCACATAAGACTATCATCATACTTACTAAAGAATCTCATGTGTCCTTGTTGTTTCCGAGTGTCATATAAAGGCATAACTTTTATGTCATCTGATTTCATAAGATTTTCAAGATTTTGTTGTATTAATTTGTTGTTCTCACTTGTTAGCTCATTAAAGAAGTATTAACCTTCCTAGAACCCTTTTTGAACCCTTAAGTCAAAATTAGTTTTTTTGCCTAATTCAATACGAAGGTATTGATACTAAACTCATTAGTATTCGTATTGACCTGACAGGATCGGTACCTTCTCTTGGTATCGATACAAAAAATACATTCGATGTTTTGATGATGCCTTATAGCTTCTGTCATAACCGGTTGCTATCAACATTTGGATTAGGTAAGTCAAATACCTAAAAACATCTTTTAAACAATTTTAAGAAAAATCATTTTAAAGCCAAAAATTGGTTTGTGTATTAACAGAAATTTAAGAGTTCGGGAGTCGATTATGCATGGGGAAGGGTAAACACCCCCCACAACGCCCAAAATCGGTACCTAATCGCTTATACGTTGTCGTTGCAGTGGAATTTGCAAATTCGAGTCAAAATTAAAATGAGATCCTTTATATTGAACATTGATTAATTATTTCAAATCATAAAAATTGCCAAAAATGGACTTAATTTATTTTAAGTTCGCTTTTTGTTTGAATGTTGTCGAATCACATTACTCCTATCATGTAGTGCTTTTCACGCCCATTCTACAATAGATGTTCTTGAAAGTATTCGAGTAAAGCACTTAAATTTGTATCAAATAAAAAGTTTAATAAAAATTAAAATATACGTGCAACTTAAGAAAAATAAAAAAAATAAAGAAAGCTTAATATATTTATAAGTAATTGCATTATATACATAACATATAAATAATAAAGGAAAGTAATTAAAATCTAAATATAATGTATAGCATAGGTATATTGCGAAATAAACAATATGTATAATAGACTTAACATATATATATAAAGCTTATAATTACACGTACAATAAAAGTTTGAATGAATATAAGATATTTAATGCATATATAATGGTAACGTAAATATGTATGTAAACAACTCGTAATAAATAGGCAAATACTAAAGGGATCAAAATAGGAATATACAAGAGTAAGTTAATGCAAATGTACATTTTACTGGAAAGTAAATTTAAAGTTATTACATGCAAATAAAAGGAAAACTAAATAAAGAAAAATGAAAGAGTAAACAACACTTGAATGTAGGAATGAAAAAACGCTACTTTGACTAAAAATTAAATGTACAAAATTATGCTAAACGAGTAAAAAAAACAATACCTAAAATTAAGTAGTAAGGAAATAAAAGCTGGTAAATTAAAAGGTAAAATGGACTAAAATTAAAGTCAGGGAAAACCACATGTCCGAATTAAGAAAAAATCCAATTTCATTCAGTGGTTAAAACATAAGATTACATAAACTCGAAGGATCAAAACTGCTATTTACCCTTGAAGACCCAAAGGGTGAGAGCTAGGGTGAAACAACGTCGTTTTATTAGTGATATATAACCCTAAAAATAAAGCCTATTTCCTAAGGCTTTCCCATTTTTTCATTTGTTTCAAAGAAAGAGAGAGAGAAAAAGATAGAGAGAGAGTTCTTAGACGCTCTTAAGTTCCCTTCGTCGGAGGAGATGACTGCCGTTCACCGATGGCCTTCACTGTCGTCCATGGTGGCCAAAAGGGAATCAAACAACCCCAAAATGCTCTTATCCTCTTCTTTAAGTCGAATTCAAACCTCTTTTGTCCTAAGACCCACCCTAGGAGCTTAGATCTACAACAATGTCTTTCAAAAGTTTTGAACTTCAACAACCCTTTGACTTCTGACGAGCGTCGAATATGGTAAGGTTTTCCCTCGTTTTTTTTTCTTTCCTTTTTTCGGATCTTTCCATTTTTCGAAATGGCTTCCTCATTTTTCTTTTTTTTGTCTTTTTCCCAATTTTCCCCCGAACTGATCTCCCAATCTGCCATCTTGTCTTTCGTTCCCCCTTCGAGTGTTCCCTTTTGCATGTTATATCCAAGTTTGGTGAAGCAATAAGCCTCAATCCTAAGGAATAATTACCCTAACTCAAGCATTTGACAACCCTAGATTTGCCTTTGGATTTCCTTTTATTATATTGATTTTTTGCTTGATTTGGTTGTTTACTAAGCTCATTTCCACTGTTGATTGATTTCTTGTCGCCGTTAACTGAAATGGCGACGTCAGAGCAAATAATAGAGGCGACGATGTGAAGTTGGTTGTGGGAATGGGTCGGCTTGGGCGGCGGGAGCTGGGAACATATCTGGCGATGTGAGTGGCTATTGGGACGGGTGGTAGGTGGATAACCCTAAGTTAGGGTTAGCCAAAGTGTTAACATGATGGGCTATTAGGGTTTTCAAATGTTAGACCTATTCGGGCTTGTAATTTGGTCCTGTAAAATAATAATAATAATAATAATAATAAACTCCGGAAAAAAACAGATGTCTATAATATCGATACCCTTAAGTAGAGTATTGATACTTCTTTATATTAGGATCCAATGCCATTCTAGGTATCGATACTAATTTTGGATTCGATGTTACTCTTACTTAGGGTATTAATGTTTATGCTTTAAGTAGTATCAATACTCGTCGAGTACCAATACAAAATCTGACTACTGGAATTTATAACTTAACGATGGTACCGATATCTCACCCTTGGGTATTTATACTCGAAGGATGGTATCGATACCCTATGAATAGGATATCAATACTACCCAACCAAAAACCCCTTGTTTTGGTTATCTGAAGAACAATATCGATATTATTCTTCCAATACTGATACCAAACCCTATAAATCTCTATTTTCCACAGAAATGACACCCAACTTCACCCTTTTGCCTATCTAAGGCCCCTAAGAGTTATTAAAAGCTTATGTAAGATTAAATGAGTCATAATAATTCATTTTTCATGTTCTATAACATCTTAAAACACAATCTACCATGAATGCACTTACATGTTTTATAAACACATACAAGCTAACCAAGCACGTCTAATGATCTACAAGTGGTATATATGGGTTAGAAATATGTTACCTTGATCCTAAGCTGCTGATAACAACTCAAGGTTCAACTAAGTGATAGCTTTTCTTTGACCTTGAAGTTTTCTTCAACTTCTTTCACTAATCAAAGGTCACGAAATGAAGTTACTAACTCACTTAGAAACTTAAAAAGAAGCTAAGAAGGATCGTTAGTGCTAAGTTAACGTAAATTTGTCCTTGAGTTGTTAATAAAAATGGGTATGGATAAAGCCAGTTAGGTGGTAACGCATATGGTTATGGGCAAGCTGGAGTCTGTTGTTGGTGACCTACTGTGTGATGAGAGAGAGTATTGTAGCATCGTTGGAGCGTTATTGTATGCATGTCATACTCGACATGATATCACCTATAGTGTGAATCAAGTAGCTCAGTACATGCATGCACCACGTCAGGGTAATCTGGTTGCTATTAAAAGAATACTTCGATATCTTGTAGGCACACTTGAGTATGGCCTAGTGATATCTCCATATTGAGTGAATGTGAAGATAATGGCATTTGCTGATGCAGATTGGGGTGGTAATCTTGATGATAGGAAATCTATTTATGGGCATTGTGTGTTTGTGGAGGATATTCTTGTGTCCTAGACTTCTAAGAAGCAGAAGACAGTTTCAAGGTCCACTATGGAAGCTGAGTATGGTAGTGTAGCTGATGCAGCAACAAATGTGGCTTGGTTTGATGCACTTCTTTCAGATATGGGAGTTGTGAGACAAGGAGTGCCAATTATCTGGTGTGATAACAATGGTGTTGTGGCCATGAGTAGCAATCCAGTATATCATGCAAAGGCTAAGCATATGGAGCTTGATGTGCATTTTGTGCGAGAGAAGGTTGTTGCTAAACAAGTGGTTGTTAACTATGTTCCAGCAAGTCACCAGGTTGCAGATGGGTTTACTAAGCCGTTGTCCAGACCATTGTTTGAGCAGTTTAGGTCTAAAGTTCAAGTGTTTTCATTTGATAGAAGAGAGGAAAAAAAAAGCAGGGAGAATGTTAGAACTATAGGTTATTATACAGTTGAGAACGTTGAGAGCAGTTAAGAGTTTGTTGAGAGTTGATTACGTTTACATGCCAGGAGTATGTGAGCTATGATGTACCTATATAAGCATGGCCTAGTGCCTTTGTAAAAGCAGTGAATAAGAAATCCATTTCTTGATGTTAGTATAGAATTCTTTACACGCCCATATGCCCCCCTCGATGCACATTTTCCAACGTTCCCTTTGTTGATCGAAGTTGACATATCTGTTTTTTGCTTGCTTTAGAAAGATATTGTGAACTTTATTGTAGAGTGCAGCATACGAAGATATTGCAAACTTTATCGATTTTTCATTGAATGTGTCATATTTTATTAGATCACTATACATTATAAACATGTGTTTATAATTATGAATTTTTAATCCAAAAAAGATGTATTCGAAATCCTGCCAAAAAATGTAGCTGATATGATTCGAACTGGATGGAAGCTCAAGACAAAA